TTTAAGCAGGGAAATGAAATTAACATGGAAAATAATTAAGGTAAATATTACGTATTCTTATAGGTTAACTATTTAATGAATATTCATTTTACATTATTTCATGTTGATTTGTCTGAGCATAAAAAAGTGATTTGCATTTAAATTTATGAGTCACACGAATAATTAACTGTTAAACCTGCATAACTCATACGTACAAGTGGATCCCCGGTCGGAAGGCATCGGAATCCTGGCCAGCTGTGCCGGAATTGATTGATTAGTTTTACCCAAGATCACTAACGTTAACGTTACAAATTTTACTAATAATGTCAGCGATAACCAATTCACTAAATAAAAAAAATTTTTTATTAGTCGTACAACTATTACATTTTGCGTAATGATTTTCCTTTTTAATTAGATATATATAGTTACTTAATTCGCGCGCACGTAGTATTTTACATTGGCAGAAATTTTATATAAAAAGCTGCTTGTTGTTGTCGCGAATAATAAAAAAACGTTGTCGATATTGATAATTGAAATTTAGCTATATACTGTATCCAATTATTACGATTCAAGCTAAATCCGGCAATAAAGTAAGCTTTCCCAATTTGTAAAAGCAGGCGTTTGAAATATAACTTCAAGCAGGTGCTAATTTAATAATGATAGTAACAAACGCAAATGCAGCTGTAGAATTTCCAACGGAAAATCCCCTTTTTTTTTTTTTTGATGGATCGTAATTCGATCAAAACACTTATAGATGATCGATCACATGACAGATCAAAAAAAATTTCATCAATCACATCTCAACCGCCCATCAGCTACTCATCAGTGATAGAAAACTGTTATAACGATAAAGGATAAAGTACGTTCATTTCAAATGAAATAAAAGAATCTAATTCCATAAAAGCAATAAAAAAAACTAACGTCAAATTTTAAATTCCTTTTTTCTTTAATTTGTTTTCAGTATTACATAATACAGTATGACTATGGATCATTTCATCAATTGGCATTTAATAAATATACATAAATTACTTAAAAAGAACAGTTCCGAGTTTTATTTCTAAAATATACCCAGAACAAACCAAGACACCATCATTCGTTTAAAAAGAAAAGAAACAGCAATTTACAAAGTTTATGGTACAAAAAAAAAAAAAAAAAAAAAAAAAAAAGATTGCAAAAAGATTTAAAAAAAAAAAAAAAAAACAAATTAAAAAAGTTAAGGAAAAAAAAAAAAAAAAAAAAAAAAAAAAAAAAGAGTGCAAAAAGATTTGGAAAAAAAAAATAAATGTTCTTTAATATGTAATGAATCCTTATTATCCCTATTCGAGCATTAATATTATTATTCTAGGTTGAGACATTTAAATGAATCAAAGAAAGTTGCAAACAGTGATTATATAAAGTTCAATCAATCATCTTCTTCATCATCCTCATCTTCTTCAGACGTTACATAATCTTCCATATCGTCATCAATGTCTTCGTCGCCGTCCGAAGCGTACCAAAAATTTTCATCATGTTCATCCTCAGTATGACGTTGTTTTTGAACAAAATCATCGGCTACAAAAATATTAAAATATGATTAAAATATAATCCTATTATATTTAATTATATTAATTATATTTAATAATTCAAATGTAGAATAAGTTCTTACCACTAGTAGGTATCTTTAATCCTTCAGGAATGTCTTTCTTTGAAGATTCAACTTGAGCTATTTTTAAATGAAATTAAAAATACGGTAAATAATACTGTCACTATATAATCAAAAATATATATGCTTACTTACATCGGACAATAGAATTGTAAGACTCCCGATCTTTACGATACATAACCTAATAATAACGATAATCATAATAATGATAGTAATCATAGTAATGATAATAATATCAATTATTCAAGGTAAATTATTCGAGATAAAATTATTTAAGACAAATTATTTGAGACATATATTTTATGATAAAAAAAAACTTACCCCAGCATCCTAAAAACAAATTAAACGAAATTTTAAAAATAGGTTAGAAGATTAACAAATGTC